GGAATGTACGGATTTAAAGTTGAAAATTGTGTCTTTTCTCAGGGTAAAGACGAACCCAAAATGGAAGAGGAAGAATTTTATATTCTATCTCCCGGCACCGAAGAGGAAGAATTTTATATTCTATCTTCAGTTGGAAAGGAAACTCGAAGTGGGATCACCACTCCCAGAATCCAGAAAGATGAAACTAAGAGTGGGATCTCCACTCCGAGAATCGAAAAGATTCAAACGACCCTAACTTTTATAAAATTGGTTGTTTGATCCAAAAAGAGTCCCTCATTTATTGAAGAGAAAGTCCGATTTCGACCATAACTTTTATAGGTTTGGTGGAAAAAGGAACAAAGGCAGACTTTCGTTTATCAAAACGGGATGACTCGGTCTTAGTCCTAACTATCTGTAGGTTTGACTAAGTGAGATTAGGAACAATCCTAACTTTTATAGGTTTGATTGCTCAATTTTTGAAAGTGGACCTCTCGTTCATGGAAGGAATCGAGAGGGGACTTTGGTTGTGGCCCTAACTATAGGAAGGTTTGACCAGGTAGACAGTGAGAGTGGGAATACAAATCACAGTGGGGGTTTAGTGTTTATCACTTTGTTCGTAATTATTGGGTTATCCCTAAGAAAATTACATATAGCATTCTTCTGGGAACTTCCCATTACATGAATCATCCACCCCCAGCTTCCTTCTTGGAACTGGGTCTGACTTTGTACTCCGTTACATGACCAGGTTATCCTTAAGAATATTAGCGTAACATTCTCTAGGAACTTCCCATTAACAGTAGGAAACAGTTTAGACTCATATACCTATTAGAGTATCAGGGAGTAGTTTAACCTCATATACCAATTGGAGGATTGAGAAGCAGTTTATACTCGTATACTCTTCGGAGTATTGCCGTTCTTATTTGACTTATCCTAGCGTTATGACGCCGGCTTCAACCAAGGTTTGGATGCTATTCTTTAAAGTAAAGCAGGCCTTGGTGGGATGAAGGATCCTCCTGTGGTACGCGCAGTACTTCGGATCCGCAGTATTGTCAGCTTTCTCCTGATTTGTAATGGGCGGCAGCTTGATCTTATTGTTTTCAAGAAGGGTCTCGAAGATGGCTGGAATGTCTTCGTCCTTGAATGAGTACTCTTTTTGGAGCCTCGGATCCGAACTATTCTGCTGTCTTCGGGACTGCTGTTGCGACGTCTGATTAACGTCAACAACTGTTGTAGGTTTCTTCCCTTCTTCATGGGAAATGAGACTCGGATTCAGAGGGTTAGTCATCGGTTGGCATCTTTCAACCTTCCTCCTTCTAAGGAATCGTTCGGCCTGTTCTCCGCGCACCTTCAACTCTTTCCAGGTATTGAGCGGCTCTACTCCCATAACGTCCAAGATGTTAATAGACAAATTATTATGATAGGTCTGCAAGACGAACTCCTCCGTGACGGGATCCTTGCAGTTCATTGCCTGATTGCGGAAGCGTTTGATGAAGATATCCACCGACTCTCCGTCTTTTTGTTTCTCATCGAAGAGTGTCCTGATCGACACTTTGGCGTCATCATCGAAGAAATGAGCGAGGAACATGCTTTCCAGGTCCTCCCAGCTGTTGATGCTTCCGGGCTTGAGGCGGTGGTACCAATCGAAGGCGGGCCCACGAAGGGTGCCAACAAATGACCAGACCATCAGAGGCTCGTTGCTAGAGATCACTCCCAAATGGGACTTGAAATAGATCAGGTGCTGAGTGGGAGAACCCTTCCCGTCGAATGGCGTGAAGTTGATCAGGTTGAACTTCACCGGATACGGGATCGAATCCCACTCTTTCGGGTAAGGACATGGAATGTCGGTCTTCTTTACCTCTTGAGCAGACATTAAAGCATTAATTTTTCTCTCGAGATCCTTCATCTTTTCATCCTCACCTATATCCTGTTTTGGATAATTTCCGAGAGGAATAATGCGGCCACCCCCAGTGTTATTATCTTTAGCAGAACCACCCCCAGTGTTGTTATCTGTAGGGTGTGCATTTGAACCACACCCAGTATTTTTGGGAGGTGCATCGTCCATGATGATTTCGTCCACTTCTGGATCGCTGTCAACTGCGGCGTTCTGGGTACGACGACTGGATTCAACTAGCTGATTCGACAAACTGCGGCGTTCTGGGTACGACGACTGGATTCAACTAGCTGATTCGACAAAGCTCGGATTTGTTGGTCGTGCATTTGTCTCATCTCCTGCATAGCCATTTCCATTTCGATTTTGAACATTTCTTTCTGCTTGGCTAGAGCGTCCTCAATGATTTTGGTTATTTGCTCGGTGTTAATCATGAACACTTCCCGAGCTTCGCCTATGCTAGACGTTGTATCGTTAGAGGCGATTGAGGAATAAGAATCCGAGAGTTCGTCATCGGAATGGATTCCTTCACGAACGCCCTAGTAATCATTATGTCCAACGACTTCTAGCTAAAGCTGAAATATTCATTGGGTTATTCCCGAACCGACTCTTCTTCCTGGAGAGAAATTAGGGTTGGAACCACTTGAAACAATCGGAGATTTTCCCTTATTGACCATATTGATGGTAACTTCTGGGAATTCATCATCTCGATCAACCGATCCTCTTTGGTGGAAACGCCTTGATTTGGGCTTCGTCGTTCCATCGGATATCCTCTCGAATACCGAGACCCTCTGTGGAGCGGTCTTGGGATAGCTACATGCTGATAATACTGCCCTGATAATTTTGATACACGGACAGTGAGAGTCCGCTTCCCGGGTACTTCTCTTTTGATATTTATTCGTACCCCCAGCCCGATAGTACAACTCATCGACGTTGCGGTCAGAGCAACCTATCGGATGTTTACATAAATTCTCAGGTATAACGCATTCTTCTGTTTGACGCGTTTTCCTCTGAGTAAACATTGCCTTGTTGGCATCTACAGGAGTCACACGTTTGGAATCACACCCTTGTGAGGGTGAAACCTTAACAGGCTCCTGGTTTTCTGCACGCACCGCCAAGCGGGCCATTGTTCGAATCAATTTGTTAGGAGGTTGCGTACGACCCTCAGTCTGGATGTTTGCTCAAAGTTCCTTCAACGGTCTCAAGCTTTCCTTAATAGGCGCTTTGCCTCGATCCTCGGGTAGAGTACCGATGCAATCCTTCAACGGGACTCTAGATTTGGGGAGATCCACGCTGTCATAGGGCTTCACCGGAAGTGTGGGAGCAGGGTCTGGAGTTGACGAAGGCCGGAGAGCAACGTCGCCTGCTTTTGCCTTAGGCGCTGATTTGGCTTTTGGCACCCAAACTTGTTTGGATCTCGGCGATCTCTTAACTACCTCTTCCTTTTGCATTTCCTGTGCTTTTCACACAAGGGTCCGGGCATGCGCAAGCAAGGCGCAGCGCTTCTGGATTCGCTCCTCGAGAGTGGAGCGGGTTCTTTTGACACGAACCCATTCGTTAATTGGAGATCGAGAGGAGGATTCTGATGCGGGTCGTGGTGACAGATTAGCCACTTGGCGCTTTCTGAACTCCAGATCTGCTTGGTAATGGAGTCCATCCATCTGATGCAAAGCCTTGGTGAATTGGTGCGCGAGGCGTTGTCGTTTTCTTTGACGTGCTCTCTTTGATAGAGTTGGTGCACCTTCAGCAGTCGGCTCCTTGATCACGAAGGAGTTCAGATCTGCAAATTTGGCTTCATTGAACGTCGGTGGATCATTGCAAGGTGCTACAGCAACAGCAGCGGAGAGATCATCTTCTTGGGTCTTCAGATCTGAAGACCAGTAGATCTTTCTAGAAGAGGAGGTACTCCTGCACTTGCCAGGAGAGGCGGATCTGGAGGAGGAGGAGGAGGAGACGTACTCCTCAAACTTTTGCTGGTCAAATTCATATTCGACCTCTTCGAGCATCGGGATCTTGATCGTCGGCTGCGGCACGACAGCTTCAGCAGCGAAGCTGTTGGCTCCCACTGTGGTCGCCAGTTTGTTTACGAAGAAAGTTGCTTGTTTCATTGTGAGATTCATTACAAACTTCAGACGTTTACAACGAATACAAAAATCAGTCTTTTTATAAGACTTTTACACAATGAAAACCAAAAAAAGTTTACAACTTTATCAAACAAACGCAGAGATCGTTTATCGGTCTTCTGCTTGCGTGGGATCTTTGCCTGTGCCGGGGTTTATCAGTGGACCATCGTCGATCAGATCTGATTGCTGAAAAAATTAGGCAGAGCTTCGTCTATCCGTGAAGGAATTGAGAAACCGTAGCTCTTATCTCGGCGAAGCGAGATAATCACTCTTCTTAAGATTACCGCAACGGGATAATCCTAAGGAACGAATCGGGCTGCAGATCTAACTCCTCCTCCTCTTTGAAATCTGTGTACTTTAAGTCTTCAATCCGGCAGGGCTTTGCCGAGGCACGAGAATTCCAGATCTCAAAAAATGAGGACCCGGGGGCTCTATTTATAGGCTCCAGGGGGTTTCGGGTGGTTAAAACCACCTAAAAGGCAACTTCTGCGTTGGAGACACCCCAGGGCGTCTCAACCTGAGCCGAGACACCCTAGGGTGTCTCGGCTTGGGCCGAGACACCCTAGGGTGTCTCGGCTTTGGCCAAGACACCCAAGGGTGTCTCGGCCTTAGCCGAGACACCTTAGGGTGTCTCGTTGGTCCGAGACACACCGTTGTGCCCATTTGTCCGCTTTTGCTGTAAATTCTTCGTCCGAACTCGGATTTGAGTGGTTCGAAGTGCGTTGGAAAGACGACGAGGAGTTATATCAGCTCTGATGGCTAGATCATCTGTAGAATGAATAAGACATGAAGGGCATTGTTCCTTTTGTAAACATCGCGGGGCTCCCGATTAGTCCGTGCCTTCGTTATTCTGAAATTCTGTTAGTTCACGTAGTTCGTCGATTCACTTCAAGCGTTCATCGACATCAATCGAACTCCTGTGAACCGGATAGTGACGTTCATCGTCGTTTTTTAACACTGAGCTGTTCGTGGAGACCTATAGGCAATTTTCGATGCCTACAGAGGAAAAGAGAAAGCAATGACTAGAGCCAAAAATAAAAAAGATAGACGTTGCCACGGGTATGGTAAAGTAGGCCAATCACATGATAAGCGAAATTGTCAGGCACTCACAAATCCGTAAGTAATAATTCTTTTATTATTTATATTGTCTTATTTTTCACATTCTCGTATCCATCTTGATGTATATATGTATGGATATTTTAATATAATCTAGGTCTTCTACATGCGGTGATACAAATCTGCAAGAGGGTAATGAGTCATCAAGTGAAGATGTGGATCTTTTTGAAGATTAAGAGGGTAATGGTTCTGTCTTATTTTTCACACTATAGTACATATTGAATGCATGAACGCACATATTGGCACTGGAATTGTATCATTTACTTCATATTGTAGTACATCCATGAATCTTTTTGTAGATTAAGCCTAGACAAGTTGTAGCTCGTGTTCTGGATTGTATCATTTACTTCAAATGTTAATATCTCCATTTGAATACTTACTCCTCAACGAAGTTAATATCTCAATATCTCTGATGTTAGGAGTTAATATCTCATGTACTACAATGCCCACAGTGACAGCAATTCATTTACCCCCAATTACTTGCATAGATAGGGGAAAAAGAACAATCTCACTTTGAATAATTTTTGAATATTTCAGATTGGTAACAGGCCAAAAAATGAAGATTCTTTCCCATTACATTCCATTCTCATATTTTTGAATATTTCAGATTGGTAACAGGCCAAAAAATGAAGATTCTTTCCCATTACATTCCATTCTCATAAGAAACAACAGAAGGAAACAAGAAAATACCAAAAAATGAAGATTCTTTCCCATTACATTCCATTCTCATAAGAAACAACAGAAGGAAACAAGAAAATACATTGTTACATATTGAGCGCATGAACTGTTTGTTGATGTTTAATGCTCCAAGTAGCCAACGAGTTGTTGTACATCCATGAATTGTTTGTTTTTGTATTCGTCTACATCTTTGAGCTTTTCTTCTTATGATTCAGAGTGTGTTTCTCAAACTGATATATGTTGTTTGAATCAGGAGCTTGACAATCAGGAGCTTGAATCAAGACATTCTAAGATGTATCAATATTAGCCTTGACAATCAGGAGCTTGAATCAGGAGTGTGTTTCTTCTTATAATTCGCGCATGTAGGACTACTGAAGAGCCTGTTGTCTGACTGGTTTCATGGGATGGAAGCAAGTTTGTTAACTAGGCCCAGTGACATTGCTGAATAGCTATGTATGCACCTATTGTGTTTGCTTATGAGGAACCCTCTACATTTGTGCGTTATTTGTTTGATTATTGTCAGCTAAATTAGCAGATTGCTTTGTGGTTATGTACAATGTACTTTGCTCATTCACTAAACTAGATATCAATATTAGCCTTGAATTATGCGAAGAAACAAGGGAGCTTTGAAGATTTCTACATTTAATTGCTGTTTGATTTGATTTTTATAATGAAATGTTATGCTCAGCATGAACTGGGTAAACAAATGTATCACAGGAGCACTCAGTAGTTATCTGCCAACTGTCATCAATAAGCATTTGTAAATTTGCAAACCAAAAAACATAACTTCAGCCAGTAAAAGCATTTGCAAACCAAAAAGCTCATGCAAACACGACAACCTGTCATCAATAAAAGCATAACTTCAAGCAGCAAGCTTATATAGCTTAGCTAACCAAAAAGCATTTGCAAAAAAGCGTAGTTAACCTGATTTGCCAAATTTCTCCAAACACGACAACCGGTCATCAATAAAACAACACAAAACAAAAGCAAACCTCAACAGCAACCACAACTACACAACAACAAAGGACTTATTTCACTAATATTTAGAAAAGGTCACAAAGATTACAGTGCCATAACTTCAGCCAGTAAAAACAACCTCAACAGACAATACGAGCCCCAACTAAAACTGATATGAGAAACCCAAAATGAAAAGATAACATCACATGTTTTTTGCAATGGAGAAACTAACAAATACTGCAACGATACATACGAGAAACACTACTATTGTAAACAATGAACCTAATACAAAAGCATTGATGGAGAAACTAGTCATTGCCACAAGTTTTTCATTGTCATCCAGATTATGCCTCACTGAATATCTTTGTTCTTGAGCATAAACAGATGTCTGGACATGCCTCGAGTTATGCCTCACTGAATATCTTTGTTCTTGAGCATAAACAGATGTCTGGACATGCCTCGAGCTGGATGCTGAATCACGAGCGAGTGTGTGCTTCTCCCACTCAATCAAAGCCTCTTCGTACGTTGCGTACCCTTTGTAGGAGGCATTTGAGAATTTATCTACCTGAGATTTGCATTCCTCCCAATTATAAAAAAATACCACATTGTCGACCTCTCTTCACAATATAACCCACCAATGCAGTAAAATCCATTGATAAGTCATGTATACAAATATTTGTATACATGACTTATAAATGGATTTTACTGCATTGGTGGGTTATATTAATTGCTCATGTGGGTAGCATGGTGTGAATTTATTTAAAATTGGGTATGGCTCAACTACCTCCAATCTAAATATCATAAAAGATCAGGATGTCTACAGTACCCCCAGATGGGTCTTAGGATAGAGACCTTTCAATGCAATTTGTAAATTCTCTATAAATGGGTTTTTTGTGTGTGAAAAATTCTTCTTTGTTACATCATAATGTACGAGTTCATTCTTATGACATTTGATACTATCCAAAGTTAAGTAGTGCAAAGTTCCAATTTTTATATTATCTCTCATAAAAATTTAAACTTCAAATGAGATTGGGCATTGCAATTTATATTTAATCTAGATTTGCATTGTGAAAAGAAAAAAAAAGAAAAGAAAACAGAGGTTTGTAACTTATGACCTTCGTTGATCACATCACAAACTAAAAAATTTGCAAGAACATCATCACTTCAAGTGTTTGGCAACATATATAGAACAAAATTAATCCATCCTACGGAGGTTGGGATGAAAATTATACTCTTGCATTAAATACAAGATAAGTTACGAACATGAGAATTCCACAAAGCTATTTCCACCCAATTAATACGGTGACGTTCTAATAAAAACCTCCTTAGCCTAAAAACGGAGTTGCCAGAAGTTTGGATTTGGGAGCTCCGATTTTGGGGTTTTTTTGGGAGAGAGAGAGAGAGAGAGGCTGAAAGATAGGGTCATGTGGATTTGTCATGGGAATTATCGCTGCTAATGCGCTGTTCTTTTGCAAAAAAACCAAGACGGGCTCAAATGCGTACGCACAGTGTGCACTCGAAATGCACTATATATATATGTACATACATACATATGTATATATACATACATACATATGTATACACACACACACACACACACACACACACACACACACATATATATATATATATACACACACACACACACACACACACACACACACACACACACACACACACACACACACACACACACACACACACACACACACACACACACACACACACACACACATACGGTGACGTTCTAATAAAAACCTCCTTAGCCTAAAAACTAAAAACCTATTTATTGCACTAAATGCCATTAAAGAATGCAATAAATGTCATTATTATACTAAGTGCAATAAATAGGGGCAACAAACAACCAATGAATCCAGATTCACTGGATTGAATCCAGACTCACTCCAGCGAATCCAGTTTCACCTCACATAACTGAATCTGGATTCACTGTAGTGAATCGAGATTCACTACAGTGAATCTGGATTCACTATAGTGAATCTAGATTCACTCATATATAGGGTGAGGATTTTCAGTTGAAAAAACGAAGACACGTATGAGTGAATCTCGATTCATTGCAGTGAATCCAGATTCAGTTATGTGAGGTGTTTGTTTTTTGGAGAATAATGACATTTATTGCAGTGAATCCAGATTCAGTTATGTGAGGTGTTTGTTTTTTAAAGAATAATGGCATTTATTACACTCTTTAATGACAGACAAATTTATTACACTCTTTAATAATGGCATTATTGCCTTAACTGAATCTGGATTCACTGCAGTATAAGCTCTAATCTCAACTATTGGATGAGATAGATCCAATGACCCACAATGGTTTTTAGTTTTTAGGCGAATGAGATTTTTATTAGAACCTCACCCTATATATATATATATATATATATATATATAATTTTTAAAAACAACTTAATTTTTTGAGTAAAATCAAGAATCTTTAGAAATGATTTTCATGAACTCTTTTAATTTTTATATGGTTATGTGTATGCTTTTATCATATAAAAATGGGCAAAATGACCAGATTGGTATAATTTCTTGAGACTTGGTGACAAGTTGGTATATTTTTTTTAAGTTTTGTCAGATTGGTATAAATTTTTAACTCCGGCGCCATATTGGCCTTAAGTTTGGCCGGAGTTACTGTTCCGACCAGTGTTGATGGGATTTTTTGTATAAAACTCCCTTATAAAAAACTTATCCTGCTCCTAACCCCCTCCCCCTCCTCCTCCTCCTCTTCCTCCTCCTCATCCTCTTCCTCTCTCCTCTTCCTCGCTCTCTTCTTCATCTCAACCCAATCCCAGCCCCCAGAAACACCCCCGGTCTACAACGGCATCGAGTTATCCTACTCCATCACCGATCGCAAGCAAATCCATCCTCTTCTCAAGGACCCCAAAGCCCAGCCCAACTCCTTCAAAGCCACGGCCACCGTCCAAAACAACGGCCTCGCCGAGCTCAAAGCTTGGTCCCTCCTTATCCAAGTCCAGCACCAAGAGCTCATCGTCTCCGCCAATGGTGCTGTCCTCAACAACAACTCCCCGTTCCCCTTCAACACCTCGGACTCCGATGGCCTCGCCTCGTTCTCGGGCTTCCCGAGCCCAGATCTCAAAACCCCCATAGAGACCGCTGGAGATTTGACCCAGATTCAGGCACAGATCGACCTCGTCGGGACTTTCTTCGGGTCACCTCTACCCGCTTACCCGTTGCCCAAATCGATATCTCTCGACGACCCTTTATACATCTGCCCATCACCGAAGTTGGGTTTCAATTCGAGCAGTTCGCCAATTGGAGTAGTCGCGAATGTTTGGGAGCAGGATGAGGAGGAGGAAGAGGAGGAGGAGGAGGAGGAGAGGGAGGGGAGGGGGAGAGGAGCAGGATAAGTTTTTTATAATGGA